ACCTGTTCTGTCACATATCCATCATGTCATGGAGGTAAGATTCACTCTTCTCAGGACACCATGGTTCTGTGAATTGCTTTTTGTTGTTAGCATTTCTGACAGCTGTGGCTTTGATTGCCCCACTCTTGCTGCCACTAAGGAGGGCTGAGCTCACCCAAAGTAGATTAAAATAGGAAGAAAGAGGAATTAGCACTGGACAAATGAAGCAAAGGCACAGGAAAGAGGTGAAAGTAATTTTCCTTTGGAGGACAACCCTTACAGCTTTTACATTTTGAGTCACAAAACTACCACAGCTACTATTACGAAATAAAATTCATATACTTTTAGAGATGTGCTATAGATTTGAACAATTTTTAAAGCCTGGCAAGAAACAAAACAAATTGCTATTGACTTTATGGATGTGGTGTTGACTCCCGTCTCACTATATTCAAATGACTAGTAAGAGGGTCCTGCTTAAGTGGCATCTTAATTGCAAATGATTGTAAATTACATTCAGGACAGGAAAATAATTTGACTTCTGATGAACAAAGGATGGATCATGTATTGAGGGAATAGGTTTCATAAACTCATTTTGCCAAAATAATAGATATGAGGAAAGAATGATTTTCTTAGTCATAAAGGTACCAAACATGTCAGAGAGAGAGGGGGTGGGGGAGAGGGAGAGAGACAGAGAGAGAACGAGAACACGCTAGGGGTAGCACTCGGAATGCGGGTGAGGACTAGCTTAGCAGGCTTGAATCGCCATTGTAATTCAATGCTGTTAGATCAGGGGCAACCAAAGCAGCTTGTGACGCTTCATAGAGGCTGTGATAGTCAGTCCCGGGCCTCCTGGAAAGCAATGAAAACTACTTGGAAAGAACTGGTATTTTAGTATATGTTGGGGGTAGGGAAGAAGAAGGAGGAGAAACCAATTGGTTATGAGAATGTAGACTGTCCCACAGTAAAAATGCTTACCATATCATCCAATGTCTTGACAGAAATGTTGTTGAAAACTTAGCATCATCCTTCCATTTTTGACTGAACAGAGTGTCTTTTAAGTTCAAAGTTCTACCTTCTTTTATATTTTTTAGGGGACATTGTTGACACCCGACCCAGATACTCTCGGACCCCTTGAACCAGCTCTGTGTGGTCATCCTCAGCTTCTGCGTGCTTTTCTGCTAATGGCTAGCACCTGTGACCTTCAGAGATCCGCCCTTCAGGACTAGAGCTAGAGGCCTAGAAATGTCTTGGACTGTGTCTCCCGCTCCCCACAGAAGACTTGTAAAAAAAACAAAACCTCCCAGTTAAATTTGAATTTCAGATAAACAATAAATATTTTTAGTATAAAAATATACTAATATTTATATAGTGTATAAATGAAAATATTTCATGGGACATACTTGAAAAAAAGTTGTTTATCTGAAATTCAAATTTACCTGGGCATCCTGTGTCTTTATTTGCTAAATTTGGAAACTCTATCCAAGGGGGTCCATAGTCAATGACTGATTGGTACAGTCCAGCTCCTCAAAATGGAAAAAATCAGCGATATAATTTCGGCTCTAGAGTCCCTTCCAGGATCAAGCTGAGTCATCAAACTCAGGCCTCACTTGACAGCACATTGCTTAGCTTCTTTCCCTTCTTTATTCTGCTTCTCTTACTCCCTTACTGGTTTCTCCTGGAATCATTTCCTTAACAAATCATTCCCTTACGAATCCTCGTCCGTGGGTTTGTTTCTGGGAGAGCATAACTTAAGATAGATATCTCACAAATTATACCACATCGACCACTCATCATGGCGTAAAAGGAATTAGGAATCGCTGCTTTGAAGAACATTCTGTTTATTAACTATAGTTTGCATTTATATTATTTTAAAATCTCCATTGCTTACTGTGTCAAGTCCCTAGCAATTAGTGAAGAGCCATGTGTCATGCTCTTCTGAGAAGCTGCTGGGCCTTGCCTAACTCACTCATATATTTCCCTGCTTTGAAATGACTTAAAAGTAATACAGTCAACCAGGCATGTTGATAAAACATTGTTTTCACTCTGATATGATATGAGTTTTGAAAAAGAATGCCCCAGCCCAGTTGTTCCAAGAAAAGGGCAATGAACCATGATGAAATATGTATTGTGGAGGAGAAAGGGGAATTAATTGCTAAGTTGGGTCAGGTAATAGACCAAAGAGACTGCGATCTTACAATCTCTTTAGGGGAATTTGCTGTTCCTTAGTCTAAAGTGAATTACAGGGGAGAACGCAAGTCTGCTTGCAGAATGTAAGGAGAAAAGGAAGTCTGCCAGTTTTATTAACTAACACTTATTACTTATTACTATACCTCTAAACAATCAAAAGGGAGTTAACATCTTTAGGTGAAGGGAGTTAAGAAAAGATGGGCTACCTCATGCCCCACCTTTCTAAGGAATAATTTTGGGATAACGTAACTCATCTCACTGTGGCAGTCTATGAATGAGTCACCACTGTGATAAATGCATATTCTAGGAAAAGAACATTTTGCTCTACTGATCACCCAAACATCTTTACTCTCTTAATGGAAAAACATTGTGCTTGGCATGCTTAAACCAAAACACCCCTGACTGCCATATTCTGATTATCTGTAAACTATTTCAGGTATTCATAATTTAAAAGATAAAGTCTACTTAGGGATCTTCTTCCAATTTACAAGAACAAGAAACCTCTGAGTAATACACCAATATTTGGTGAAATATGTCCATGTGGCTTTATAGCTTTGTGGTTGTTTATACCCAGCAGGGGATAAGACACAATGAATAAACTTAGGTAGACAGATTCTGGAAGAATGGTATAAGCACTGTGATATTGGAGCGCGTGCCCCTTATACTTGATGAGTAACTGTAAAACAAATTAATTAAAAAATAGAATTTTGTTTGTTGGGCCAAGATACTTTTTGTTTTTTGAACAAGCTACTCCATCTTTCTCCTCCTCCTCCTCCTTCCCTCCCTCTTTCACCCTCTCCTTCTCCCTCTCCCCTTCTCTCTCCCTCCCTCCCTTCTCTGTCTGTTTATCTATCTATAGCCCTGTGAAATGCTGGCCTAAATTGTAAGCCAAGATAGCTTAGCTTATCCATGGAGTCCCTAAGAGGCTAATTAAAAATAGTAACACTAATGCTGGTTTGACTCCTGCATGGGATGGTGGGCTGTGCCCCCCTGCAACTAAGATTGATGACACCTTGAGCTGAGCAGCCGATGGGCAGCCGGATGGCGACTGGACTTGCAGCTGAGCTAGCTGCGCCCTCCACAACTAAGACTGAAGGACAGCAACTTGGCTGTTCCCCTTCCCAATTCCCCAACACTGTTCCCTCCCCCAATTCCTCAATAAAATATTTTTTAAAAATAGCAACACTAAACTAGGTGCTTATCATCTCTCAATAATTTTGATGTCTGAGATTCAGGAATTTAACAATCAAAAACAAAAATGATATTTTTATATAAAGTTTTGTGGGCCATAACATGAGGCTACCCCAAGGGAAGTCAAAGGTAACTTTCAAGGACAAAGGCAACTATGGTTTAATTTTTTTTATCAAAAAGGAAATATACCGAAGGGGTGGGGATGAAGGAGAAGGGGAAGGGATGAGACAATACAAATTGGTAATTACAATATGGCCTCAGGAATAGGAAAAGACAGTCTGAGGAATATAATCAATAATGTTGTAAATATTTCTTAGGGGGCCAGATGGACTCACGTCCTGTCGGGGAGACCACTTCATAGTTGGTGTAGAGGCCTGACCACCGCACTGTATTCTGAAGCTGATGTTGAATAAGATTGTATGTCAACTATAATTATATATACATATAGTCACGGGACATGGAGTAGAGTGTGGGAATGGAGTCAATGGAATTGTAATAGACAAGCATGATATCGGGGGTGGGAGGGCAGTAGATGGGGGAGGGGGGTTGTTACTTTGTGAGGGTGAAAAGGATAACTATTGCATTGTTCTGTACACCTGAAACTAACAATAAAAAAAAGGAAATATATCTATATTCCTGAAAATGTGGAAAATACTGACAAGAGTAATGATCTTTTGATAGTGGATAAATTATTTATTTTATGCTTCCATATGTTTTTCTCTGCAGTTTTACATAAAGTGACACTAGTGTGCAGAAATGCTTTAGGGAAAAAGAAACAGGTATGGAGAGTCATCAGGAAAAAAACAACAACAGTCCAAAGAGTGTCTGTCCTCTCTAGGGGAATTTGCTCTTCTATATTTTAAAATGAGGAGTAACAGGAATAATGCAATTCTGCTTGTAGAACCTAAGGAGGTTTTACTATCAGGCTTTGCAGAATTACTGCAGCTCCAAGCAAACAAAAGGGAGATAACATTTGGACAAAGCAGAGAAACATGAGGGTAGATTTTTTTTTCTCATGCTCTTCTTTGAAAATACACTCATCATGTGTTTTGCTTTGATTCATGCCCCGAAAAGATAAAGAAAATCAAGCCTGATATGAAATGACTACGCTCTTGGCTACCATTTCTGTTTCTCTTTACTTTTCTTGACAAGGTGATAGCTCTGTGCATAGGAGATTCTCACTTGGCCCCACTGATAATGAGTTAGAGGTGAAAGTAGAAACTGAAATTTATGGAAATTCTCTGAGGCAGTTCAGATGATGAATTATTAATAATTTTCAAAAGCTACCAGGAATGTATATGACACTTAGGTTTCTTTTTCAGAAGTTTAAACAGAAAAATATCAAGAAATCAATGAAAAGAATTTCATTTCCTTGTACATCTCCATTTGAACTGCAGCCCTGAGTCCCAAAACATGATGTCCTATCCCTGCAGGTAACACAGATGGTTTCCATAGCTGTAATTCCAGAAGAAGTATTAAATGCTTTCCATTTCAACTAAAAAATATCCTCATGGCTTTTTGCATTATGTTTCAGGAGTTCTCAGAGAGGTAATACTTTACAAACACCTAGAAGCGCTGTGTGGATGAAAGTACATCAACTTTACCATCAGGCTACACCATTCCCCAACCTGCATGTGTCTTACCTGTCGGAACCTGGGGCTAACTTTAAACTCCGAAAATGTTGGCCGTCTAAGTCCACGCTGTAGCTCCGCCCACTTCCAGTTTTTGGAGCTACGATGATTTCTCCTCTGGTTGCTGATCTGAACTTGCTAAGAAGAAATCTGAAAGTATATAAATATATTTAAAGAAAGAAATTAAAAATACTTTCAACAGTAAATGAGTCTTGGGGCTGAGAGGTTGTGGGGCGTTCCCATGCCTCTACAGGACAGTGTCCAGGGCCACGGTGGAGAAGGTTATGACATTCTCCCAAGGCCATAACACTTGCTGGTAAGCCAGGCCTCTGTTCCTGCTAAGAAAAAGACCATGGACTTTGGGAACTTATCACCGTCACCTGAGAATTGAGAAGCACTGCCTGGGCTGAGCCTGTTTGCAGGGGTGCTGAGAATAAAGAGCTTGAACTCACCTTGCTACACAGGGGAGTTTGGATGATCCTCTGGGACAAACAGGTGGCAACTTATCAGATTGCCACTCCAGGAGAGCAGCAACTCTGTCCTTCTGGTTTCCTGCCAAGTCCCCTGAGCCTAGAATGATTCCTGAACCCATGTTCTAGAACCCAACCAATTCTCATATAATGAGTGCCTGAACCCATGTGGTGGGAACCATCTTTATATCTTCCATGACATTTCTGCATTTCTGCTTGTGGGAATGAAGTCTGAACAATGTGCTGTCTCATGTAGGATGAAATCTGATTGCTTTCCCATTTCATTATTAAATTCCCATTAAATTATTTGGAATTTGAGCCAAATGAGCTTTCAGGGACCGACATTCAAGTCATGATCCAGGCTACTGAACACTCAAACCATGGGGGTTTCCAAATTCACTTTAATGAAAAACCAAAGCTATATTATTTTTCTGAGGGCACTGGGAGAGACCAGTTCATTTACTCAACATTCTACAGTCTTCTGGGTGGGCAGGGGATGTATCCAAATGTCCTAGGACAATCTTAATGGAATCTGCCAAGTTGTCTGTGTTTCAAAGACCATTGGAAGAGTATCTTGTCAAAGTGTCAGAAGTTTCAATCTAACTAGAAAATTACATTTTTGGTGAGACTAGCACTTAACGTAACATCAACCTATGCTGCTCTGAGAACCAACTTGCATATGTCCCCACCTCCACATTTCTACGTAAGGTGTCTCTTCCACCTTGATCTCTCCCCCATCCCTTTGTCATCCTGGACCCTATTAATCTTTCAAAGTTCTCATTAAGTCCCACTTACAATTTGATGTCTTTCCCGATGGCCCCTCTGATCTCCAGACATTGATTACCTAGCCACTTATTTAATATTTACTTAATTATCTTTTGCCTTATGACATCTCTTGTAGTTAATTAACATCTTGTTTTAGAAAGGCTTTCAGGCAGCCCATATTGTCATCTTATATTTTCCTAAAATTCTTCCATACATACTCACTTTTCAGGTATGTACGTTCTCTCCCCCACTAGATGTTATATTCCTTGAAGACTGAAAACTGCCAGGTCCCAGTTTTGTGTTCCAGCAGCCCTCGGTTCAGTGCTATGACTTTTTTATTTTTTTTTAACAATTTAGGGTGTATATAATTCATTGTGCTGCGAGTTACTTATTGTTTCCCAGCTCCAAGCCCACCACTTTATAACCTACACAAACCCACCATTCTGTAACCTATGTAGTGATGCCAGAACTGGGGTCTGTAAACTACAGCTTTTAGAAGCACTTGTAGGCTTTGAGTTACTTATTCAATCAAGTCTTTGATTGTTTTTGATGAGTCAGGCACTGTGCTGTATGCTGTACAACAAAAGCAAAAAAACTACAGGCCCAGCACTAAGGGAGCTTATAATTTTGTGGAGGGGAGATGGTGTCAGAGTGCAACGTAATGAGCGATGCATAGGCACAAAGCATTGTGGGAGTCTTGAGGCATGACAAATGGATTCAACATGGTAGAAAAGATCAATGCATCGGATGTATGGTCACTCTATGCTATCTTTTCCATTCATCTCTGCTAATTAATGAAGACATGGTTCATCATGAGTGTTTAAGTTAGAGGACATTTAGGTTTCATTTCTATTCACAGTTCAAGGGTCTACAAAAAACACAGAAATAAACTTTCTATAGAGCCATATAAAGTCTCAGACACTGGCAGTCTCTCACATTGATTTCTGCTGAGAAAACATTGCAATGCTCCATGGAAAAGACCATGAAATGACTTGGTATATATTAGAACTCTCACTACCTAAGCCACAAAATTGACCAACAACTACCTGAGAAACAAGGACTGCAAATGCTGCAAAGCAGCCATTTGCCTTTTGGTCCTTACAGACTGTTTTTTTTTTTTTAGCTGAGCCATCCTGCCACCTGTTGGCAGCTCAGCGGCAGCTCAGTACGGCCGTGAATCAAACCGGGGACCCTTGTTGCTCAGAGCTCAAATTCTTAAGCGAGCTCTTAACCAACTGAGCCACTTGGCCGGCCCATCTTACAGACTGTTTTGGGGGCCACTTTTCTCTCTTGATGGAATCCTCTTGCCCCCAGATTCCCAGTGCCTCCTTGAATCTTGCTTCCCTACGTGCCTCCCGTTCCTATTCTCAGTACGACAGATATATCTGCTTTCTAAATTAAGTTATTGAGGTGGACAAATGTGACTTTTTTCCCCTTAAGGAAGTTGGCACTTTAAACAAGGGAAACAATGCTTTCAGCCCAATTAATAAATCTCTGATTTGGATATTTCATATATCAGCAGCACTCAGGTTGGGGGGAGGGGAGTTGACATTGTACAACAAAGGCAGTCATCACCCCTTTACAGACAAGGCTAGCCCTGACACAAAACCTTCTACCTAGAAGCAACAGGAACCATTTTGTTCAAAACCGGATACGTCAAATGCAAAAAAAACTCTTGCATGTTCAGATCAGAGAGGACCTTTATTCATCTAAGGCTGAAAGTAATTAAAACTGCATTTCTGGAGGAGAATGATAGCAGAATGTTACTTTGGTTGAGTCTCTAACCATCTCTGGGTCACTAAAGTGACATCAGACTTCAAAAACTAGTGAGTCTTTATTTCAGAGGTATCTGGAATAAAGATCACCAATTCCCTTGGAAAGGCTGTATCTTACTTACCCCTTTCTCCTGGGCCCATCATGACTGGCCTTCTGTCCAGCAGAAGGTGAAGTGTTTGACTTTTCTGCATCCTGGCGTGTTTGCTCTTGGCTTTGTAGTTCTTCAGCTTCTCATTAAAAATAATCAGAAGACAAATTTACATATAAAATGTCCAGAAATGAGAGCAATTTTCTATTCTTCATTCACTTCCGTACATTAGCACAGAACAAAGAAGTCTATAACAATTAACAAGATGTCCCCATCCTAAGATTTCCAGTCACACAGTTATTTCTAATCTGTTGAGTTTGTTCCAGTATTAAATAAGGACTAAGATCAGGACTCGTCTGTGGGAGATTTGCTGAGATAAGTTTTCTAGGGATGGCTATAACGGAGGAATAATACGTCATCCCTCTACAGGTATTTTTAGAACAAAGGAGCCTGCGTCCATGAGAACTACATATTCTCATATGTAGTTCTGGGTTCATAGAACTACCTAGAGACTGACTTTAAGCATGGGATTCTAGAAACAATACCCGGATTTCTAAGCACCTAAGCCAGATTTCCTGGGAGGGTGGGCACCTGTGCACACACCTCATGAATTGACAGACAGTCTATACTCTGGAAGATGCTAAGGTTTGAGTGGAGGAAGTCGCCAGAGCTAACTGCTTAATTCTAACTATTCCATTCTGTCCTTCCGTGGCATCAGATCTGATGTTACCCATCTGGAAAACCCCTTCCTTGCTAATGCCACACCCACAAGTGGCTCCGGAAGCAGTTCCAAGCCTCCCAGCCCTTCCTGCCAGACTTCAAAACAAGGACTTTAGTCTCCAGCATCTGAAAAATGAGATACCCTAGGCACAGGTCAGAAAATGCCTGCTCTGCCTTACTACCCCACATATAAAAAATATGCTCCTAAACACAAGTTTCACTCAATATTCAACCAAATGAATTATAGTTTGAATGCCCAGAACAGCATTCTCAGGGTGGGGCGTTCCTTGAATTTTGTGGCAATATAATTCTTCATCGAGTGAAACTGTCCCAAGCCGTTCAGGCCATGGAGCATCTCTGGCTCTTCACACTAAATGCCGTTAATCCCCCCACCTCCCAAGTCATTAACACAACCAGAAATGCCCCCCTTGCATTTATAAATGCTCCTCTGGCTTGGGGGAGGGGAGCACAGTACACAATATCACCCCTTGGTTGAGAACCACTGGATGAGAAAAAGGAACATTTAAAAGAAATCTGAAATACATCGTGTTGAAAACAAGGACTGCTTTCACAATGTGACAATGTGAATCATTTCATTCGTCTCTTTTGTGTTACTTCCTTAAATGTTTAGGAAAATATTGTAAGAGCATTCAGGAAAAGAACTGTCTGTGATGAAGACAAATGCCTCCTTTGAAAATCTGTGTGTCAGATATATGGAAAACCACTGTGGGTTTTACCTTCTATGGACTTCCTCTTTCCTTGTGTGAACTGCAAATTTAGAATTCATGTCTTGAGATGACCTAAGGGATTCAGGAAATTCAACTGTGTTCATTTGCTACATAATGTAGGAAAGTTATTTAGCCTGCCAAAATGAAGATTACAACAATTTTGAAACCAAATAATTACTTTAATTACCTGGATTTCTTCTTAAGATGGACTGTCGGACAACATCAGTGCCTAGAACATTGGCTTGCTTGAAACGCTTTGCCTTTTCTTCAAAAAACCATTCACCAGTTACAATCCTTAGCTGCCTACTCAAGGGAAAAGGGGAGAACATTAGAATTCAGTTATTGAGCCAAATAATTAACTCCCAAAATTTTTAAGTAAAAAATTGCCAAGCTATTTATAGAGTCCATCTCAATCTCTGGAGTATTCTATGGTGATTATTATGGCTTCTATTAGTTGAATACGTGCGATGTCCTAGGTATTGGCTAACTGCTCTTCACAATTAATATATTTTTATCCACGTAACAACTCTGTGTAAACATTATTATCCCCATTTCATAGATGAGAAAACTGAGACTTCGAACAATAATACAACATGTCTTACATCACATAGCTGGTAAGTGGTAGAGCCAGGATCCCATCCCAAGCAGTATGGCCTAGGGCTCAAGTTCTTAACCACTGCATTAGTGGGTAGATAATTTTCATTGGAAACAGTGGGGGACAAGTGAAAGTTCTGAATTACAAAGGGGCCATGATCAGACTGTTTTAGAATGATACTTGGATGTAATATGATGGATGACTGGGTTAGGGTAAAGAGAGAATGGGACAAAGACAGGTTGGCCATGGCAACAGTCAGGAGAGAGGTGACAAGATCCATGTTGGGGCAATGGAAAGACTAACAGAGGAGGAGATAAATAAAAAATGTAGGTGGTAGAAGGGCCTGCCTGAATTTCACAATCAATTGAATGTGGAAGGTGAACAAGAAGGATCTTTGACTATCATACCCATTTTTTTAAAAAGATTTTTATTGGGTAATTGGGGGGGATGGGAACAGTACTGGGGAATTAGGGGAAGGGGAACAGACAAGTTGCTGTCGTTTTGTTCTTCAACCTAGTTGTGGAGGACATTGCTTCACTGGCCCAAGTTGGCACCATCATTGCGCTCTTCCCTGGCGAGGCAGATCAGTCGCCGGCTTCTGGACGGCCGCTCACTGCGGCTGCTGGCCGCTCACGCTGGCTGCTGGCTACACACGGTAGCCCATGGCAACCCACTGCCACAGGGGCTGCAGCCTACGCCATCGCCAGCGACTCACGGCAGCCCAGCTCCAGGTTGAGCTGTTGTTCAGCATCTTAGCTGTAGAGGTCAGTGTCACTGGCCCTCATGTGTGGGATCCGAACCGGGGCCCTCTGGCATCCCAAGCGAGTTCTTAACCATCGCGCCACTCGGCCGGCCCTATCATACCCATTTTTAAGCCCCACCTGCAATGGTTACACAAAGCCTTCAGCCAAGTTACATAGGCCTGTTTACATTCTCAGAACACGCCCCAGAAAAGTGTTGGGACAATGGTGTTCACCTACTATTGTCCCAACATGTCTATGGAGGATTGTAATGGAAAATTGAGTCATATAATGGACATCTTTGAATGTCATGCTAAGCAGCTGGGCTGCCATTCTGGAGGCAATGGGGGAAGGCTGGCAGTTTTTCTAAAGTTCAGGTTGGATCATATAATCTCAGTAGCATTATATGGAGTAGGAAGAAACCAGAAGCAGGCAGCCCAATTAGGAAGTCATTGCAATAGATGATCGAGGAAATGTTGGAGATGTAAACCAGGATATCATAGGGGTGTGAAGTGAAAAGAAAAATGGAAGATACTTGGGCCACTGAGGATGAGAATCAGTAAGCCTGACATGCTGGCTAAAGAAAAGCAGCTGAGAGTCAAATAGAGATTCCTAGCCCCGGAGTATTACACTCGTGTGACTCAGTAACTGATTGGACTTGAAATTAACAATTGAATCCTAAATATTTAAATCACTCCAGAAAAATATGCCAAATTGTTCTCCACAGGAATTACCCTGAAATCCTACTTCTGAACGTAGGAGAGACAAAAGTAAATTATATATGAAGCACAGTTCCTCTACTGGGAAAAGCATGAAAATGTTATCCTTAGAGCAAATGATTCATCAAAAGGAAAGACAATAGCATGTACATGTCAGATTTACTCCCAAATCGCTAGATTGCCTAATGAGAAGGACTACTGAATTAGTTCCAGAACTATATAAAATATACTTATGAAATATGTCAAATCTAAGATGATCTAATCTACCAAAACCAAATGCTTGAATGGGTTAAATTATTTCTGGATACACCACAAGTGCTCTACAGACTTATATATTAATATTTATGTAGAAATCTAGGTGGTAATTGTGCTATTCTAAATTCTAAAGCTGTTTCCTCAAAGTTCCTGTCCTTTAGTTATTCAACCAAATGCTAATCTAGGTACTGCTATTATTGAACTTTGATAATGGAATTAAAGTTACTAATCAACTGACCTTAAAATAGGGAGACTGTCCCAGATTATCTGGGTGAGCCAAAAGTAATCACTGAGCCCATAAACACAGAGGAAGAAATGGAAATCAGATGCTATGATGCTGCAGAATGAGAAGCCAGAGAGATTCCAAATGAGAGAAAGATTTGGCGTGCTAAGACTAATGTAGAGGTCCACACGCAAGGACCCGAGAGGCCTCTGGGAACTAAGGCCGGCTCTTAGCTAACAGCCAACAAGGGAATGGGAGCCTCATTCCTACAGCCATAAGCAATGAGATTCTGCCTGCCAAAATGAGCTTGCAAGGGGATTTTTTCCCAGAGCCTCCTGATAGACGCTCAGCCAGCCCTGAACTTTACTTCAGCTTTGTGAACCTTGAATAGAGAATCAAACCAAGCCAATCCAGGCTTCTGAGCTACAGAACTGTGAGAAAATACAGTTGTGTTCTTTTAAGCTGATAAACTGGCCATTTGTTATGGTGGTAGTAGAAAACTAACACAATAATAAAACATAGAAATATATATATATATTTTAATTTTCAGCTCAGGAAATGGCTTGCACAGATTGTGAGAAGATAAACATGGAAAATTCAGGAGAGCAACAGGGTAGATGCATGCAAACTGTGGCTTGTGGGTCAAGTTCGTCCAACCACCTGTTTTGTATGGCCTACAAGCTAGGGATGTTTTTCAAATTTTTAAACGGTTGGGAAAAATCAAAGGAAGAATGTTTCATGACACGTGGAAATTACATGAATTAGTTTCATTTGAACATATTCATGCTCATTTGTTTATGCATCGTCTCTGGCTGCTTTTCTGCTACAACTGCAAAGCTGAGTAGTAGCAGAGACCACATGGACACGAAGTTTAAAATATTTACTCTCTAGCATTTTATTTTATTAAAAAATTTGGGGAGGGCTGGCCGAATGCCGCAATGGTTAAGAACTGTCTTGGGACACCAGAGGGCCCCGGTTCGGATCCCACATATGAGGGCCAGTGACACTGCCCTCCACAGCTAAGATGCTGAACAACAGCTCAACCT